CTTAGCTTATTTAGGCCACAGGTGGCCTAAATAAGGTAAGGGAGGGGGGTTTAGCTTATTTAGGCCACACTGTGGCCCAAATAAGGTCACCCAAAGCGCATATAGAACTTATGCTGTTGAGCAGGAATTTGCATTATACAACTGCTATCTGTTATTGTGAACTGTACCTCTTCATACTACGGAAACTAGAATAAGCTCTGACCATCTGGAGACAAAGGGAATTTTTCCTTGTTTATGTATTGTCTGACCCAACAGCGACTATCTTTCACTATGAAGATTGAGAGAAGGGGATAGCACAAAACTTGATCTTTGATCTGTCTTTGGGTTCTGCATTTTTTCCTCTTTAAGGGAAAAGTGTTTCAATATTTTGTTGTTTTTTCTTGGCCCACAGGTTTGGAAGAATGGCCTGTTGAGGCCTTAGAAAGAGCGGCAAAAGTGATGGAAGCCGGCAAGGGGCACAGTGAGATTGTCTACGAGCCTGTGAACCCCTCAGAGTTCTTGAAGGGAGAGGATCTTGAAACTGTCAGTCCTCTTTCAGATCTGGTGAGACCCTACCTGCAGGGAATTATTTGTGTACTTGCACTGCGGCTGTAATGTTTTGGTTTTGTGAAAGACAGGAACTAGATCTACATGTATGACAATAGAGTAGACACAACTTTCTGTCGTGTAAGGTCGGACACCATCTGATCAACCCAATCCTTTTTCCAGTGTACACAAACTGACACGGTGGTACAGGAATAGGTAATCTAGTATGTGCTACATGGGTACTGTTACCAAACAGAGTACAGTACATAGAATATAATGCAATTGAAGGATACTAAATAATGAATACATGACAGCGGTATTTCCTCTCCTAGTAAAAAGAGCCTTTAGTGATTCTTACTAAATTCAAGCTCTTTTGTCTCCCCCATGATTCATCATCTTTCTCTTTGTGTTTTAGTCCACAAGGGGTCTGGTCAACAGTTTATTTGGGGGATTAAAAAAAAAATGTTGCATGAAATGTATGCCATTGTGCGTGACCCTCAAAGTATTGCTAGATATATATGATATGCGTTTTCGGAATAAGGCTTGTTTCCAGTGTGTTGAGACGGAAAGTTTTAAAATCAATCCTTGAGCATAGAGCGTTTTCACTGACCTTTCAAAACCTGAAGTCATGCCATGTGCTTTACAATAAGCCCCCAGAGGGCAACACACTCTGCAATAGTGCTATTGTACAGTCCATGCCGGATTTAAGTACGGTCATCGGGAGAAAGCTGAAGCGTGCTTGAGTGCGAAGTAGACATAATCCAGAGATTTTCATGTTGCAAAATTTCCTGTGCTATTTCCCTTTGTTTGTAAGTAGGCCTATAGTGGTCCCACAAACGTGTTCACTCTTATTTTTACCCGCCATGGTAGTTTTTGTTTGCCTGTTTGTTTTTGTTTTGTGGTCGAATCGGAAATGAAAACTTAATTTAGACAGACAGTCATGATACAGCACCCTTAACTAGGCCTACACACTGCCTGTGCATACCACTGCCCGCTCTGTCACTTTCATACCACCGTCTTCATCCCACCTCGCGCGTGATACACAATCAGGATTAATGGATAGCAAGGGTGAGATCGCAGCCAGCCTCCCTTTCTCGTCTCCCTTTTTTTTTTTTTTTTGGTGTGTGTAGCTTTGCCCTAGGCTAGATCCTATCTCCACGCGTGTGGCTATGTGCATCTCTCTGCCTTCCCTCTCCGCCCGTGTGAGTGTGTGTCTCCATCACTTGCGTTCTTTGACTTGTGTTTCTCTTAGCACACTCCACTGCTGCGGTGTAGACTGTGTTTGAACTTCGATGGGTCATCATGAAAGTATTGACTGTCTTGTAAATGAAGTGTGCCGTAAGCCGAAGTTACCGTGCTCAGAGGTGTGTAATTTATAGAGCAAAAATTCCATAAGAGCCGTTAAGGGTGCTTGAGTCCGGAACGTGCTTTATGCCGGCGTGCTTAAAGCCGGCACGGACTGTACTTGTTTTTAAGTTAAGATGAGATCCTTATGGTAATCCTTGTTTTCCTCATCATCATCATCTTCAGGCTTTCTCACCCTGTTCTCAAGTGTAGGCCACCAACAAGAGCTCTCCATGTACTCCTGTCCTGGGCTATAGTCTTCACCTCTGTCCAGCTGTATCTCATCTCCTTTAAGTTGGAATTTAAGTCCCTCCTCCAACTACTTTTAGGCCTTTCTTTCTTTCTTTTTTTGTTGTTTCTATTTAAATTTAAGGCTTAGTGGCTGGGCAATGTTTGTTTGCGGTTTTCTCAAGGTTTAATTCATAACTTGTTTGACCTTTTCTCAAATGACAGCTGAGCTCGGAGGACACCCTTGACCAGTTGGAGCGTCTCCGCGATGGGCGTGTCATTCAGGGCAGCGTACTCTACAGACTATGGCGCTCCGCCTTCGACGTCTGGTTCTCCGACAAAGACGCTCGGGTGTTTGTGGTGACTCCACACATCGACGTCGATCGACTCACTGACTTGTGCATGCTTTTCTTGACTCACAAACTGGAAGCCTCTCTTGTCTCTCTCTCTCTCTCTCTCACTCACATGAGGGGCCGGTTCGCGGAAGTGAGAAGCAAAGCTATCAAACGTTTCCCAGCGAGAGACCAAGTGTACATTGAGTACAAGATCTACAACAGTATTGTCTACCCAGTTATGGATTTCACCACAAGTTTTATAGCGATGGTGAAGGAAGGAAGAGCTCATATCTTACAGACCAACACAGCATTTGACAGAGAAAGTTTCATCACCACAGCCTCGGCCACCGTCCAGTACATAGAGATAGACGAAGGACAGTTCGTGTCTGCCTACCTGGATCCCATCCTGCTTTGATCTCCGCAAGAGCTTTGTCAACTTCCTGCATTTAGATACAAGTGTGTCTAGCATTAAATGTGTGCCCTAAGAGTTTTTATTTAGTATCATGTAGCAATATTTGAATAGTATTAGTACTGTTTTTTTCATGATTTCTCGATGATGCTCGTGTGGTTTTTCATTCTGAAGATACAGCCCACCGGCATTTATGCGGTGTGGTGGTAAGGCTCTTAGCCAGTACATGCGAAAGACATTACTTCTCTTCCCTTGTTGGGAATTTTTTAGTCCAGGATTTCTGTCTCTCTTCAGCGATGCCATATCCTGTCCCCGTCGTTTTATGCAAGAAAAATTCTGAAATTATGCAAACTGAGCCCAAAAATGTGAAATTACGTGATTCTGTTAATTTTAACAAAGAATGATGAAAGAAAATAATCAGAAATTATGCAAAAAATCATCAAATTTTGCTAAATTATGCGGGGTGCATAAAACCATGGGGACAGTATATCTCACTCTGCTGGGGTTGGCCCTGAGAGGCAGAGTCAAAACATCCCGCCCCCACAGAGACCTAGATTGTGTCAGTTAGGGCATAAAACATCTATTTACAAATCACTATTAATTATATTAAAGTAGGCTACATTATGGAAGCCTACTTATGATGATCCTTCAGGTGGTGTCTGCCATCTTCATGGAACGGAGGCGAGTGAGCACAAAATCTTTAATCATTGGTCTTTTCTGTGTTTGTTACTTTTAAATATTTAATGTACAATTCGTTGCTTTCACCTCACTGTTTCAGTGTATATTACAACGTGGTGTTGCCTTATCCCCTCTTATCTGTGATCAGTCTTCAGTATTCCAAGCGCAAGAACAGTACACACAATGTTTGGTAGTTAGGTTTAAAAAATCTATTGTTTTCAACATGTTTTAAGCCCTATTAAGCCCTATTTAAACATGTGAATTGCTATTTCTGTTTACATGAATTTGGAAAAACAGAAAAAAATTTTTGAGAAGTCTCGTCAATGGAGCAATGAATTATCACCGTCATTTTTGCTGACTTGACATTAATCTAAACCCAAAAACAACAGCAAATGGCAGTAGCACCAACAACTCACTGAAGCATATCATTGGCTCGCTGTTCAATCAGACCAAGCCCCAAATTTGTTTAAAATGCAGTTTCCTATTCCTATTAGTATTATATGGGATCTTAGCTGCATGTGTTCCAAAACTATTTTGTCAAAATTCAAATTCTAAATGTAAAAAAAAAAAAGTTAGAAAAGATATATGTGTCACGACATGCTGGAATCAGGCGCTCGTCAATTTTTACGCATATGGAGTTATTGGTACCACCTTAAAGCCTGTTCATCTGCCTTGCCTTTGGTGAAAAAAATATCCATCTATGTTGAATAGAAGTCGAAATATTTGCCACTGAAGGACGTCAGGGTTGCCAAGTTTCAGAGGTAAAATTAGCAAGAACATGACCGCCAAAGTTTGGTAACTTCCATAGCCTGAGAGTCCTAAAAACTGAAAATTTACAATTTTTGTGCCTTCAATCAGTGTTTTTCAGTAAAATCCACACAGAAAAGTGTTTTAACATGGACATAAAAGGCGTTGAGCCAAAAAAAGAAAATTAGAAAAAAATTGCCCAGCGGCGTAAAAAAATGCAGATTTCTTTGATTTCCATTATTTTGACGAGTGCCTGATTTCACCACGATGCCTCACATATAATGTTGGTATAATTGTTAAAAGAATGAAACAATTTTTTTCTCTTTCCTGAAAAACGTTGCTTTCTACTCTAAGCTTAGATCTAGTACATGTACATTTGAACAGCTTGCCAATTATATATCAACTCATCCCTCCATTCACCCTGCCACATGAATACACACCTCTCCAGTCATGAATACATGCTCCTCCTCTAAACACACTCTTGAAATCTGACCTTACAAAAAAACTGCGATAAATACCGTTGCTACAAAATTTTCACCAGTGAATGAATTTTTTCACGCCAACATTGTTATATTGCATTGCTGTGGTCACCTCATGCTGTGGTTACGTGTCTCTTACAGTCTCCATCGATCTCTTTCTCTATAACATCAGCTTTGTTAAGGAACTACAATATAACACGGATAACTCGAATTCGTTGGGACCGGCTTCAGTAGTATGAAGGATCTGTAGTTCGAGGGATATCTTACAAAGATAAAGAAGAAAAAAAAGGGGGCCGCAGGCACAGTTCAACAGGTGCGTGATTTCATTCCGAGTCTTCTGTCTTCAACCTATCCGTGTTATACTGTATTCTGTCTTTGATGAACATAATTATAATAACGATAATAATGACATACAATATGTTATAACAGTACAGCTTCTACAAAACTCTACAGTGTATTCTTCTACGCAGCATTTAACATTTTGTTCTGTACTGATAGTATATCCAAGAGACGTCTGTATACTCTAGTCGTTGAGACAAATCATGTTGACTTTTTGATGAATTGATCCATTTCATCTGAGATTTATCACATTATTCCAAGTGTTTTTTCACTGCTTGCATGTATATATATTTTTGATGTAGCTTTTATTTGAAGTCAGTATACTGACTTTTTTCCATTCTTTGTAGATGAAGAAGTATGACAGCACTAAAAATAAACACAATACTGGAGAAAGCTTCATTTTCACTCTCTCATGACTATGCTAGCTTCTATGAAGTGTAGTGTGCTTTCATATTAAGTAATGTGTCTAATTCATATTATGGTGGTCATAAATCGCAAAGTTGTACAGCCTTTTAGTTTTAGTAATATTTTTTATGGTAGGCTACTTGCAACGCAAATAGTTCACGTAAGTGCCAAAGACTGGAGAAAAATACACAAAGATAAGAAGGGAGGACAGAGAGGGACAGTAGATGTTTGATAGGAAAGAAGGAGCAAACCACACCACAGCACCTGCCAACCACCCACATGACCAATGAATCAAAATGAAAAATGTACACTGAGTAACACACAAATTCCACAAAGAAAGACAGATAACATAGTATTGGCCATGTCAATTTATTGGTGATAATACTTACAAAATGTCTTTTCATCTTAGGGAGTAAAAGAATACTAAAATTTAAAAAAAAAAGAAAAAAAAGAACCTCAGAAAGAAAGGAGCATTAAGAGCAAATAACAGTAACAAGACCTAATTTGTCCTAAGCTATTTCTGCAGTGTGCACTGCCTGACAAGAACACAAAAAGACAGTACAGAAGAGCATTCATAATGTCTCCCAAAATACATTACATTAACCTAAGAGGCTAAGACGACACTTGTACCGAAATGAATAAAGCTCAAAAGTACCGTATTAGTAACCCCCAGCACAGTATGTATGATGTTTCTTACAGTCTAAGCACCTGTCATGAAGTTGGTCAACCACTCAGCATAGAGGATGAAAACAATATAATGGATGACCCATATACACTTTCTTGACATACAGATACAACTTCCATAATGTGGGCACAACATGACACCAAAACATTTTCACCCCCAGAAATCAATCATACTGTATGAGCCAGATTCTCTTCTGCGTGTAGACTTTTCAATCAAGACTTGTCAGATTTGTGGAGACTTCAGACAGGAGCCATTCATGAACATGCCTCCGTAATGGGGGAAAAAATAAATCACCAAAAGCCAACTACTGACAAAAGCTGAAAATGTCCTACTATCCCACGCAAAAAAAAACAACCCCTAAATAAACCAAAACATTCATTGCAACTCAATCAAAGTGAATTCTGTGGGCCACTTGCTAACATTACTTAGTAATACCAAAAATGAAAATGAGAACATGTGAACATTCAATGATGTTTTTAGAACACAGGAACAAACGACGACCCCAAATTAAAAACAAAACAAAAAAACAAGACAAACAAATTATTTCCCAGCTTGTTTCCGAAGCATGTGGTAGATTTTTTCCTTTAACCAGTCTTTGTTGTGGGGCGTGTAAGTACCATAGGACTTTTGGAACCTGGGGAGAAGAAAACAAAAAGCACAAAACTAAAAGTAAAGTTTCCTTTTCGTAAAAGTTTATATTATATTATAGTAGAGGGTTTTACGGCGCTCGCAACTGCATTAGGTCATATGAGCGCCAAGGGGTGGGTGTCAACAGAGAAGTCTTTACAGGGAATCAGACTTACACTGCTCACCTCCCTAGCTTCAACAGTACACGGTCTGCTTCGACTATCAAGGCACCCCAAAATAGCAGGTCACAAGGGAGTGACAAACAGAAAAAAAGTAGAGGAAAATGACAACAGTAAGGATCAGGAAAGAAAAAGCAGCAGTTCCCTGTTGTAGATCAGGCAGTTATGAGCGTGACATGAATCAGCCCATTTACAATTCTACTGTGCTTGAACGAGATATGTCCCCCCTTTGGGAATGGCCTAAAGAGTAAAAGTTTATCAGCACTTGCAACCCTATAAGGTCATATATATAAGTGCCGAAGATCGAGGATTAGAGATGTTACTTTTGTACAAGGGAGTAACAAACAAAACAGAAGGAGGAGAGATTTAAGGACGATAGATGTTTGAAAGGAAGGAGCAAACCACACTAGAGCACCCTCCAACCACCCACAAAGTAAAGCTACAACAGTGAAGAAAAATAGAAGGGGATATATTAGTAGCGTCTACTGATACTAGCAAGACAACGCACGTAAAAAACAGCCTGACAACGAAGGGGCATCACAATAATTAGAAATGGAGAGTAGATTGTGGCAAAGAAACAGCAGGAAATTTCCAAACAAATGCATTGCACAAATTTATGAACTGTTCCAAACTTTTTGCTGTCCTGTCCATTCCAAATTTCAAGGAAAAAAATGACTCAGTCCTCAGTCATTATAAAACATAACTTTGCACAACCCTTTCCCCTCTTAAAACCTATCGCCACTGAAAAAACACTATTTTATCTGCAGTTCACAAAATGTTCACGAAACTAGTGAAGTTTTGAAAGGGTTGAGACCATTTTAAATTAGAAAACAAGAAAACAAATGAGAGCAATTAACAATCAAATCATGGGGTAAAGCACTGCCAAGAAATATTGAAATAGTCCAAAGAAGGAAAAAAATAATTGTACTTGTACAGTCGACTATGGACGAGTTGATGTCATCAGTGTTAAGTTTAAGTTTTAGTAGATGTGTTACGGCGCTCGCAACTGCATAAGGTCATATGAGCGCCAGAAGATTAGAGGTGTTACAAGAGAGTAACAAACATAAAAAAGAAGAAGGGGAGATAAGGACGATACATGTTTGATAGGAAAGAAGAAGCAAACCACACCAGAGCACCCGCCAACCACCCATGATGTCATCAGAGGAGTGAAAAATCAACTCATCCAAAGATCAACTTAACTGTTGGAACTTGTGAAGATGAAGAGGGGCTGGGACACGAGAAAAAGATCAACTCAGGCGAGTTTAGATTCAACACAAGTGGAGCCTACTGTATTTATATAAACCAGGCACACAGCCCCTTTATTTAAACTGGGCACTGACATGATTGTTTAAGTTCGGTTTGAATTTAAAAAAAAGGTATACAACCATGATTAAGTTCATTTAGAGTGAAAAAACAAAACTGACAAATAGGGAAATAAAATAAGAGGCAAGCAGCCACCTATCAACATGCAAAAAAAAAAAAAAGGGGGATAAAAAGATATGCTTTACTAACCTTGCAAACGAGTAAAGTAAGAAACTAAACAGTAAGAATCTAACCAGGAAATTACAGAAGTATGATCCATAAAAACTCTGATGGCACTAGCAGTCATGCACCAATCCCCAGACTGTAAAGTCATTGACCTTCTCTAGCCCCACAGAAAAGCAAGGAAAAAACCCCCAACTCTCTGCAACTTTATAGTAATAAATAAAACCTACAAAGTAATCATGTGCATACATTGAAAAAAATCCAAGCCAAAAGAATGAAAGGGCACACAAAAACAACAAGCACAGCACCTCATCGTGTGTGTACTAAAGAGCAGCACAGAACAGAGTCATGTTTGAACTATGAGAGCAACACAGTGTCACATGTGTATGACAAGATGGCACCCTGTCATGTGTGTACTACACAAGAGCTGAACAGCGACACCCATCTCAAAAATTTTTTACTGATAGGAGATATTTTTCAAGATGGTAGTGATTATTTTCCTACCACTACACTGTCACAGGTATACTTCCTTTGATTTTCTTCAATATCTTTTATTTTTAATTTATCAGTTGACTCGAACTATGGATGTGTCCAACACATTTGGAAGGTAAGCTGGCAATTGAGTTGGTTCTTGGATTTTAGTCCTATGGACATAGATATATTTATAGGTTGAGTTTGTACAATTTTTAATTTGAAGAAAGTGGCGTCAGTTGAAAATTAACAAATTTGACCCCTGTGTTGATTTATGGTCAATATCTGAATTTGCAGACAGTGAGAAGTAACTCATTTTGTCAGCACGCTTCACATTAGTAAACTATCGATGTGTTCAAGACACCCGCGCTCAACTTAATCCTTGATGGAAACACAACCCTACACAAATAATCTTCATCTCCACAGATTTCGAAACCATCAAATAAAGAGAACTGGTCATAAAAGCGTACTTACACCAGGCAGCTAAGATCTGTCAACTGATCGATGAACTCAAACAATTGTGAGATATCGTATGTGATAGATGGATCGTGGGGGTGCAGTCTCTTCAAATGCTCCTCAAAGATTTTGCAGATACCTGTGGGAAAATGAGCAAATATGTGAAAGTGAACTCTCTATGTTTTGAGATAAAATTTATTTCTCTCCTCCAACTCAGGGGCAAAAAATTATTACTAACATTACATAGTAATTTACTGATAGAAATAATATATAAAAGAGTGGTATCGTGGTGAAATCAGATGCTCGTCAAACAACGAAACCGAAGAAACAAAAATTTTCCGGCCTGCTGGGTAACCGTTTTCAAATTTTTAGGGAGGGGGGCTCAGTCTTTTATGTCCACTTAAAAACATATTTCGTGTCAAAGGCACCAAACAATGTAAATTTGCAATTTCCAAGGACATTCAAGCTTTGGAAGTCGGCAAATTTTGGCAGTCATTTTCCCAATAGTATTATATCTCTCAAGCAGCTGCATAACAAGGAAAGTGTTAAGATTGGAACCCACAGGGTGAAAGATCAAGGGGAATACCACATGGAACCTGGAGGAGAGTCACGGAAATGGATGTACAGAAAAGAGGGATGACAAGGAGTGACATCAAGTGACTAACCCAGGATAGGAAAAGGTGCAAAGGGTTTTCTTGGTGGCCTATATCCTGATCCAGGGTGAGAAAGGCAATGATAACAATGATGATGATTATATCTTACACCAGGCAACCCCCAACATCCTTCATCTCGACTTCCAGTCAAGATAGATGGGTTTTTTTCATCTTGAGCGAAACAAATGAACTAGCTTTATGGCCATATGCACAAAAAATGGAGAAGCACCTGATCCCAAAGTGTCAGGACACAATATAAACATTATAATGTATAGTAGGCCTATATTCCCAAGTGCTTTTTATAAACCTGAAATAGAAATCTCGTAACATTATAAGTTAATGTGAGAATTTCAGAGCTATAAAAATAGTCGTAATAGACATGGAAAAAAGGGAGCAAACAAGCATGTTCCGAGGTAGTAAAGTAATTTGTTCACAAACAAAAATTTTAGTGGAGGTTTTACGGTGCTCACAACTGCATAAGGTCATACGAGCGCCAGAAGATTAGAGCCGTTACAAGAGAGTAAACAAACATAAAAAATAAGAAGGGGAGATAAGGACGATAGATGTTTGATAGAAAAGAAGAAGCAAAAACCACACCGGAGCACCCACTCACTAACAAAAAACTTAGAAAGGCAATACAATGTAACTTTAAGACCAGCTCTTACTAGGCCAGGGCAAGATCGACGACAAAAAGACTCGAGGCCTCGATCCCAAAACTGAAAAAAGATCGAGGAATCGAGTCCGATTTTCGATTTTGGAAGCTGCTTCAAGTGGGCTGTTTAGAGGCCATGACTTGAACACTGCTAAAATAGCTCTTAAGGTCGAGACCACGAGTCTTGAACACTGCTAAAAATAGCTCTTAAGATCGAGACCTCGAGTCTTGAACACTGCTAAAAATAGCTCTTAAGATGAGACCTCGATTCTTGAGTTTGACAGAAGTGGCTGGCTAAGCCTGCGCGCGTGCTAAGAGACAAGTTGGCTTTCACGCATTTGTGTGTGTGTGTGTGTGTGTCGTGTGTGTTTGCGTGTGTGTGTCATGTGTGGGTGTGTGTGTGTGTGTTGCCTCCCTTTTATCACTCTTGCCAATGCATGGGGCACAGGTTCCTTCTCTCTTGCACCCTTTGCTTCCTGATACGTCAAAGCATGCTTTGATGACAAATGTTTTGTTATTGTCGACGTTGTGTTATTGTATGCCAAAATATTATTACAAACAAATCATACAAACAACAGTACTGTGTTTTCCAGCTTATAAAAAAAGTCCGAAGCTAAAGATCGACGTCCAGACATGATGACTCATTGATACCAACTCAAAACACACAATATGATTTACAAAAGAATACGTGTACAGTGACGATGAAAGTGCAGGGAAATTCAAAAGCAAGCGTTTAATGTTCAAGACAAAAGAAAGAGAAAAGGGAAGTGAATGATTTAATTTGGGATGGGCGGGGGTGGGGCAATAACATTCAAAGTAGCAGTAGCCTATGTGCAGCGTGGTTTCGTACTGGGCTACACGGTAGACACGACAAGTAGGCCTAGGCCTAGTTTAGCATTCACTCATAGCGGGGAAGAGGAAGAGGAAGGTGGGGTGGGGTGTGGGGTTGTGTGAAACAATTGATATAGTGACTGACTGGCAGTTTCTTGCCCCTACTTCAGCAGGCCTACGAAAGTTCGTCCCGGGACAGACCCGTCTGACGTTTGAAACCTTTGAACTAGAGTGTAATGTACCGCACCTATTATTGGGACGTGACATTTTTGTTGCATTGGGTCCCGAGCAGTTGTGAATTACTACAACATCGGTGGGACAGTATGACTGACCTAACCCTGTTTTCTCTTTCTCTTTTTTCTTGATACATGTATCAAGGCCTAGTGCACGCCAAATTCAAATAGCGAAAAAAACAAAAAACATATAAGTAAACAAAACTCACAAAAATTAATTTAACTTGGTAATCGGGCTTTAAATTGGGTTCCCCGCGTAATTTTTGCTAATTTTGGGTCGCTGATCACGAAAATCTTATTATTTCTTAAATTAGATCAATATTTAAAAAATTTTTGGAATGCATTTTTAACTCCGCCTAGGCCGACATCAAAGAAGCCGCCTTATGCGCCGGATCAGTCCTGTCCTGGTGCGGTGTCTGTTTTGAAGCGGAAAACTCGACAGGACTGTAATAGTGCGGTAGAGATCTAGATTCTTGCCTCGATTCTCGGAGTCTAGGCTAGGAATCAGGCAAAAAAAAAGGAGACGGGAGGCATCGACCCTGGGCGGACTCGAAGCTTAGAGTCTGGGAACAAGATCGATTCTTTGAGTCCTCATTTGGACTCGAAAGAATCGATCCCAGAGTCGATCTTGCCCTGGCCTAGCTCTTACCTTCCAGACATTCATTTAAAGACTCATAATCAGAGTATGTCCTCGTCTCTGGCCTTTGGTTCGGCTGCACAAGGAGAATTGTGTGAGACTGAAAAAAAAGATTAGAGATTTTATAAGATTTTAACAATCTTCACAGAGAGAAACTTATTGCCACATGATAAATACCTACATGAACACACACGCTTTCTCTCTCTCTCTCTTGCACACACACAGACAAACACGAACACACACACAAAAATAATCATTGAATGGACCTAAAATTTTTGGACAAACATAACCTCAGACATGTTGGTCCCCTCATGACTAAAAATGGAACTTTTCCTCAAGGTTCTCCCTAAAACTTTGAGTTTGGGGTAAAAAAATAATCGTAGCCTCCAGAACCCCCGAAGACTCAGATTTTTATACATCATGTAAATCTGAAGGGGGTTCTTCCGCAGACAAAAAAAAAAAAGGCCCAAAAAACAAAGACGGACAGCTCCAATTTTATTGAAGTAGGCCTACTACGTAGGCTACCACAAATAAAACCACTGAAAATTGTGCTGACATTCTTACACGTTAAATCTGACTGCCAGGAGCAGAACCATACTAAAGTTTTTATAGCTTACTATAACAGTCAACGTTAATAACAATTAAGGTTTAATGAAGAAGATAAAACTTAACATAGCGACAGAATACATACACTACACACTGTGCACAGACAGTAGCCTAACTATATACTATGATTACACACTACATGATGTTATGTTATATACAACTAATTCACCTAAAATTATATAATTATATAATAAAAAGTTAAAAGATAGATTTAGACATCTACTGTGATTGTGATACCTAGTTTACGCACTTTCCAGGTATTCAATAATTAAAGTAAAGTTGTGTTGGGTAAGTAAAATTCTGAAAACATTTGAACAAATATTATATATTCTAGACCTACTTCAAGAGGAAAAATGGCTTCATCAATCATCTCAACACATTATAAGATCTATAAAAAATATGCAGCTGGCTACGTTCGCGGCGCCGTCAACATAATTGGCAGGCTACGTTCACGGCACCCTGAATGCAGTTTGCAGGCCCTGTTGAGGCTACGTTCACAGCACTAAAGCTTCGTTTAGGGGGTGCATCCACTGCCGGTTTTAGTCAGTGAGGACAGTGACGTATACATATTTAATATTTTGGCCAGCTTCAAGTCAAGTGTTCCACCCCATGAGATGAAGGAAAACGAAGCGCCCTTACAGATTTAAAGTCGGGATATAATGGGAATACGGAAATTGGATACGGTACATGGGACACAAGAGGTGAGAGTGAGAGATGGGAAACAGAAGATGGGACTGGTCATAAAATGTGTACAATAATGACTGTAATCCAATGGGTCAGCCTGGGAACCGACGCAGAGAGAAAATGACAGGAATCAATAAAATATATGAAATTCTTATTATAATTATAAACACTCACACCCCCCTTTTCTCTGTTTGTCTCTCTCTCTCCCCTTTCTCTTTCCTTCTCTCTTTCTCCCCCCCCCCCCCCAATTCTCTCTCTATTTTTCTGTTTCTGTCTGTCTGTCTCTCCGTACATGTGTCGCATCATCCCCCCCCCCACCCACCTTCTCGCTCTCTCCCTCTCTCTATCTCACACACACACACACTGCCCGTGGACAAAATTGCACACTTTCAACTCGAGAGTGCTGGAATGTTTGTTTACACTCGTATATCACAGGCCGTCACGCGCTAACACAAGGTCGCACCCAAGTCTCGCCCGGACGCGAGATAGGGCAATTGAAACATCTTGGTAAGTGTATAAAATATACATTTTTGTCACATTATTCCTAATGCGTTGTTGCGTAATTGTGAGTTCGTCGTTTTCCTTTACAGTACTGGCGAGCTCTGAGCCAGAGCTCAGTGTCAGGGAAAACGACGAAAGCTCGATCGGTCAAGGATCAGAGCTGTTTTCCTTCATCTCAGGGGAGGGAACGCTTGAAGCAGGCCAATATATTAAATATATACGTCACTGTCGTCATTGACTAAAACCGGCTTACTTAACCCACTCAGTACCACTGGATTTCCAGTGGGAAGATGGCTCAGGACCACGCAAAGGGGAATAAATCCGTGTTTGTGATGTAGTGGGTATTTTTTAAAAATCATTATAAAATAACCAATCCATTGATCAAAAAAAAATCTTGAAACAAGTTCTTCACAAATGAATAAATTTTAATTTATAAATTACTTGTTTACTGTGTGTGTTGACTGTATTTCATATAATTGAAGATAAAATCAGCCGAGTTGTAGATCTAGATCTAGCCATATGCTCCTCATTGACCTCATTCTCATTGTCCAAACCACCCCCCAAAGGCACAATTAGATCACCATCAATGTCACTTCCACTTAAATTGCTACCATTCTGTGGGTTTTCTCCCCCAGCACAGTTATTTTCATTAAAATTATCCAAAAGTTCGCCTAAATCAGTCTGAACGCGATGCCAGTGGCTTGCGAAGAACGCTCGATCTTGGCTTGCGCGACCCGTGTGAACTGGTTTGTTTACATTGAATTTAGTCCAACTAAAATTTCCAGAGTTATGTCCCTGCTGCTCTCAAGGAGAGAATGATTATCTATTTTCTGATTGGTCGAAATGCGGGTTAAATACGATGGCTACTAAGCGTGTACACTTCCCTAGAAACAACGCTACTAGCGCGTGGCCGGCTACGGCCGTAATGGTACAAGGTTTATGAAACGGAAGCGGCCGGCTACGGCCGTTATGGTACTGAGTGGGTTAATTAAACTGGCAGTGGACGCTCCGTCTAAAAGAAGCTTGAGTGACGTGAACGTAGCCTCAACAGCGCCTGCAAACTGCATTCAGGGCGCCACTAAAAGTGACTAGACCTGAAACTAGCAAAAAAAGAACTAAAAAATAGGCCATTATAGTTTAGATACATTTCATGGCAAGAAGACAACGATAGGACGGAGTTCTGCAGAGGGCCGCCAACCAAGAACACCTAACCCTTACCCTAACTCCCAGGCCTATCCTAGTAGTCTAGTTTATGGAAGTGGCTATCCTCACCCATGGTGAGAATAAAAATACGATCGACCTCTCACCCCGGGTGAGACTTGCCACCGTTGGCTATTTTCACACGGTGTGAAACAAAACCTGTTTTTCCTAATTTCGGAATACTTTCTATCGGTGTGGATGATCGAATGGATAAAAGCAAAGAAAAAATTACTTTACTTTATAGTTCAAAGGTAAGCTAATTTGATCGTCTACAAAGATGCTACGGCTATTTCACTTTTCGAATGGAGCCGAACTACGCGGGTCGCCATTTTGTTTTGCCCAGAAGTTCTCGCAAGATCTACTCCTCCCCTCTTCTCTCTCTCTGACTCTTTCTGAATACTGTCTATCGGTGTGGACGATCAAATTGACCAAAACAAAGTAAAAAAATGATGTAAAAACACAATAAAGTAAATCAATTTGGTCGTCTCCAAAGATGCTACGGCTATTTAACTTTTCGAATGGAGCCGAACTACGCGGGTCGCCATTTTGTTTTGCCTGGAAGTTCTCGTACTACTCCTCTCTCTCTCTCTCTCCACTGCCCACAGACAAAATTGTACGCTTTTAGACTAACAGTAGTAATGGAACGTTTGTTCAAGGCACAGAATTCTACAATTGTTCTGTTATCACAGTGTAAAATTCTATGGTTCAGGGTGAACGCAAAATTTGTTGGCCTAGATCTAGGCTCTAACGGTGAGTGCACACCGGGTGAGAATAGCCAAAAGACTCGTCTGCGCTATTCTCACCCGGGGTGAGAATAACATGCGATTAAACGTAGAAAGACGCAAACTATTTTTAGGTAAGGCGCCCATCTTGTTTGACGTCAGACCAGGATATCCCTCCGATCACGAGACTACATCTAAGTATAGCCAACCACATGGCACCAAAGATGGAAGTGTCTATCATGAATATCATGATTAATCTACACAGGTACCTATCTCTTGGAAGTTCTGATGGCTCAATCGACAGCGAGTCTGCGTTTGAAGTCGTGCAATGATTTTTGAAGCCGTTCGATCCCAGTCCCGGACAGTTGTTTTTTTTCTCTTCTCTTCCTCCCGACTGACCAAGTCCCATATAGTTATAGGCCTAATTTGTAGAGTTGCTTTGGCTTTGAAGTTGTTGTTAAAAAAAAAAAAATGTTAGTGATTAAAAATGCAGGAGGGTGGGGGGGGGGGGGGGGGGGGGGTGTAGATCTAATCTAGATCTAGATCCTCCTGCGTCTTTACGGCAATTTTTGTGCGGTCTTCCATCATGTCCAAGTAGGCCTACTATCTAGATCTCTAGAATCTAGATCTCTAGATATCTAGATCTAGATTCTAGATCTGGGACCGGGTTTATCTAGAATCTAGATTAGATCTAGGAAATCCGAAATGTTACCGAAAACACGTCGTTCCATGTGGGTATCCCAGGGAGTGATGACATCACAGTTCAGTACTAAAATTAGCAGCCAATCAGAAAGATGCTTTTTTTCTACGTTTAACGGCTGTGAGAATAGATTCTATATAGAGTCTAGATCTAGAATCTAGATCTAGAGTCTAGAGGTGGCCCTACTAGAGTACATCCTGTGGTGCGATATACAGTAAGCGATCTTTTGTGGATATCTCTGGAAGTTACAGGTCGATCTTCATGATTTTTTCACCAGAAGTTAGAAAAACTTCCTCTCTATACGGTGTAGCGCATTACTGTAACAGCAGTTTAAAATTTCTATATGTTGTGGTGGTGTTTGTTTGGTAACGTGTGTCTGGTTTGGTGCGCAAGGTTTCTGGTTTGGTGCAACATATCGTCTTGTTGGGTGCGCAATAGTACCATGTTTACAGTTTACAGCTCTAGATCTAGATCTAGCTCTTTTCTGACACTTTTCATCTTTCTCTATCCTTGCTTTGTCTTCTTTTCCTTGCAAGAAGTTCCTGTACTGACCATAATGGAAGGCCAAGGTCAATTAGGCGTGTTCTTTTTGGGAGCTGGGCGCCCCCTGACAGGAGATTTCCTTACACCTTGTGTATGTGTTTTGATAATAATGGATAAAAAGAAAGGTGCTGTGGACACAAGAAGGGGAAAGAAGAAAACAAGAATAAACTTAATAAGACTATACCTAGACTAGTATTTTAGAAGGAAAAGGACAAAAAAGAAGAAGAAAAAGACGTGAAAAGAAGAAATTGAAAAAGAAAGGTGCTGTGGACACAAGGAAGTGAAAGAAGAAAACAAGAATTAGACTATACCTAGACTAGTATTCTTTAAGGAAAAGGGCAAAAAAGAAGAAGAAAAAGACATGAAAAGAAGAAATTGAACATTTTGGAGATTATATTTCCATATTAATTAATTTTGACATGAATACATTAACTTATCATCTTCCAATGGCAATATAATGCATCCAAATGGAAGGAAAACAGTCTGTTTCAGTGCACAATGCAGGTCATAGAGAAATAACTTAATAAGTAAAACAAACAAAGGGCCTAGAAGCCACACTATCAATGCCAAATAGCAAAAAAGCCGATATTGCGCACGAAACGGACTGCCCAAATTTGGTCCGCTTCAGTGCGCAACCCTATCTAGCACGTTCCTGGGCATTAAGAAGCAGCCTGCGATAGTATTTATCGATTCTAGTATACATTCTACGATACATTAGAGCTAGATTAGCTAGATGTGCTAAATAATCGACTACTCAAGCGCTTAGTAAATTGATCGATACCGGTTACGAAAACCATTAATATGAAATGACGGGGCAAAACTTTCCGACACCGTAGAATCACGTGTGTTGACAGGAACCTCCAAAACGAAAGTGAAATAAGCTGCATTCTGCGCATGCTCACAGAAAATGACCTCGTTTTCGCTGTTCTTATCCAAAACAAAGCAGGAGACCGGGGGTTGCGCACCAAAACAGTAGCGCGGTGATGCGGGCCTACTCTAGTTTATAATCAGTACTGAATCAGTGGACCTTGTCATGCTAAGTGGCGCCCTCTGCGGAACTCCTCCCCAATGATATATCAGAAGACCCAAGCAACATATTAAAGTTTCCAGAGATCAATTTCACTGCTTTCCCTGATCAGTTATGCAGTCACGTCGTCACGACGTGGGCACGATTGATTACTTTTGGTTTCATGTGTTCTCGGAACATGAACAAGGAGGGTATTATCGATATTGGGATTACGGCGTTCTTGGGCTCTGTAACTACTGTTTGGAACACAAATTGATCCTCTAATCAAATGGGCATCAAGCTATTCATTTTGCCAACAATTTTCAAAACAATACATAATACTGCCAGTAAGCATACCATTGTTCTTAGGCTGTTTATAGACACACTGTCAACGTCAAGCAGAGGATTTGTATACAATCATCGACTAAGAAGAGGAAGCTGGCTATATTCACACCTATGGTTTCAAAGCTAGCAAAAATTCGTGAAATTTTAAATTCTGTTTCTTGAATAAGAGTAACGTTTTCATTCTGATGTGATAACTTTATTTAGAATATGGGTTAATAGAAACTCTACAAATATAAGTTTGATAATGGTAAGGGGAAAAGCATTTTTATTAGGAGCTGCCAAGAAGCAAGAATTACACAGAATTTATGTCTATATAGTTCACCGGAAGCCACACCTGCCATCTAGCGTAACAACCAAAACATGTACGTGGTTCTGGTGTGAAAAACGATAAAGATGGATGAAGCTGTAACCCTCCTTGGCTTATCTTTTGCTATGCTCGTAGGATGTTACTTAGCTGGCGTTATACCCCTAACAATAACGTTATCTGAGGTAAATATGTATATACTGTACGTGAATATTACACATCATTAGCCAGAATGCATTTTTGAAGTCTTCAACATCGAATGAGTCTTTTTATCCTCATCTCTCACATCCTCTCACAGTCACAGTCATTGTGATTGTTTTGTTTTTCTTCAAACATTGTTATTTTGTGATTGTGTTGTGTTTCTACTTCTATTGTTTTCTGTTACATGAAACTACAGGGAGCACCTAGCACACCTAGCACACGTATTTCTGCCGTCTATTTTTGTCGTCTTCCAGGGCTTCCCTCGCAAGTTAACTAGAAATCTAGAAATACTCACTGTGGGTGGCCCGTGGCGGGCCCGCTTTGCCTTCACATCTAGATCTAGATCTAGGTTTCATCGCTGACTGCTATGGCTGTGGGTGTGTGTGTGCGCACGCTTGTTGTGTGTTAATGTGTGTGCGCGCTTGTTGTGTGTTAGTGTGTGTGTGTGTGCGCGCGCTCACGTGCTTGTGCTTGAGTGTGTGTGCGTGTACAACTTTTAGAAGAAGAAGGTAAATTTGGAATGAGAATTGCTGAGATTGTTTATATAAAAGACAACACAAATTAATACAAAAAAAAACCCAACCCCAAAGATGGCGAGATCTAGTCAATAGTTACCGGCAAAGGAATCCCAATAGTCTTGGGGGAAGCCCCAGAAGACGACAAGAAAAGGTGCTTGAATAACGTCATCTATATTTGGGCCAGTCACAGGGATTTGCTAGATCTAGATCTAGGTGCTTGCACTCGCTGTAGCTTCATTATTTTTTTATCATCTAGATTCTAGATTCTAATGTCTTACAAACACGGACTTCACAAGACTACAATGTGGGTGGTTGGCGGGTGCTCTGGTGTGGTTTGCTTCTTCTTTCCTATCAAACATCTATCATCCTTATCTCCCCATCTTCTTTTTTTATGTTTGTAACACTCTCTTCTTGTAACACCTCTAATCTTCTGGCGCTCATATGACCTTATAATGCAGTTGCGAGCGCTGTAAAACCTCTACTAAAACAAAGAAACAAGACTACAATCTCCTTTGCTTTCAGTTTCATACATAATTCTGAGGTCAGTTTCATACATAATTCTGAGGTCTTGTTGGTAACTTTACTCTATGAAGTCTAAAATTAACTATTTGAACATGATGTACTCCTCCACACTCAAATTGGAAACGAATTCCAATTGGAAATTGCAAACATAAAGTGGGAGAAATTCCAAATTCAAATGATGAATAATTAATTGAATACACCCCCCCCCAAATTGAATCCCAGAAAAATGTTAGATTCTTAATAGAGCGTAGAGGAAATGACACAGACTGTACTACATAAAAGCTAGTCATGAAACTAAAACCTCGATGTATATGAACAGAACATGGAAGAACCTAACGGATAACTTCAGAAGGAGAGATCACGCAAGATATTTAGCTTTGGCCTGAGCAAGTGATCCTTCTCTCTATTAAATTTGTATTTTACACCTGCACAGCTCCTGAATTTAATTAGATTAATGCTACATTGCAATTTTTTATGGTTGTCGGTATTATGGGGACAAACATTCAGACTTGTACTGGATTTAAGCTTTTATCAAGCAATTTTACAGATTTATACCCCTTACAATTTTTTTTGGAAGGAAAATTATGCTTTACTTTATGCAACGAAATATATGTCTTTGTTTCTACGTTCAGGAAAAGTTGAAAATGGTGACTGTCCTGGGAGCTGGTTTGTTGGTCGGCACTGCCCTTGCTGTCATCATTCCAGAGGGTGTCCATGCCATGTACTCTAATGGAAAAGGTGAGAGTGAGTTTACTTGTATTGTACAAGAAGTACCAATTTTCTGGATAGATCTGAGTAGCCGGATTTCTGAGATTGTCTGGATTTTGTCTGACTTATGCATTATGCAAATGTCATATTACACTGATGTAAATAGTATTGATGCACAGTGTATTTGGCAATTTTATATGTGTCACGACGCGGTGGAATCAGGCGTTCGTCAATTTTTGGGCATGTGGAGTTGTTATTGTCATCTTAAAGGTTCTTCATTTGCTTTGCTTTCGCTGAAAAAAATATCCATTTATAATCTTGAATAGAAATCAAGATATGTGCAATTGAAGGAGATGGGATCGCCTGGTTTCAGAAGTAAAATTAGCGAGAAATTGGCTGCCAAAGTTTGGTGACTTCTTGGAAACTGCAAATTCATTTTTTTGTGCCTTTTTAAAAAAATCAAAGTTTAAAAAAAAAAAATCAAAAAAATGTCCAAACTGGCAGAAAAATGCAAATTTCTCGGATTTCAAAATTTTGACGAGCACCTGATTTCACCACACTGCCTCACAAATATGTAAATTTTGAGGTGCCACCCACATGTTTCCCAAGGTCCAAAAAGTTAAGTGAAAAATATGTATTGGATATTCAAGAAAATAAAATTTCGTCTCATTCAGAAGGCTGCTCCTTTGGAAGAAGAACATATTATCCCATCTTGTCATGATGGAGGTTTTGTTGTTAGCTTTTCTTTCATTTATGATAATGTGACTTTTAGTGAAAATAACAAATTGTAAGCCGAAAAACTGCTTCTCAACGTTGGAGAAAATAACCAACACTTTTTTTCCCAACGTTCTGTTTCAGACCATGAAGGGCACAGCCATCAGTTAAAGGAAATTGAACACAAAGAAAATGAGGTAGTGAACGCGGTCGGTTCGTTAGCGGGAAACGATGATGCTGCGACAGCAGATCTCCACCGCGACCACCATCATGACATGGGAGAGGAGCACTCCAAGATCGGCATCAGTCTCGTCACAGGGTTCATCTTCATGCTGCTCGTTGACCAGATTGGGGGCAACATGCACTCGCACTCCGTCAGCAACGACGCTGAGGCCACGGGAACTGTCCAGAACCGTAACAAAATTACAGCCACGCTGGGCCTGGTGGTGCATGCTGCTGGTGAGTGGTTTACTTCTGAGCTTTGTGGCTGCATCATATTGTCCCAGTTACATTGTTGTTTGTCGTAATTTATTACTTTTTTTTTTTACCCTCTGAGTGTCTCTAACAAATAGCCCTTGGGGTTGGGCGAAGTTTTTTATTTCACCACATCATTGTGTTGGAAAATGCTTGAGAACAAGCAAGACAACCCTGTCTTTTTCAAGTTTTTACACCTCATTAATCTACTGGCGTTTTGCATGACATGAACGTTGGTGGACTCTTGTGAATTTATAAAGAAGGAATAAGTATACAGTCGAACTTGTCCAAGACAAGCACCCTTTGTTGAGGAGAATTGTGGTCCTCTTGGGCAGTGTCATTTGAATATTTATAGAAAAAACCCGAAAAGGATGAAGTGGGAAGCGGTCATTTGTACAGGGGATTGTCTCTGGTAGGTGGTCGTTAGAATAGGGTTAGACTGTGTTTAGGTTATCCAGAAAGAATTTTTGACTCTGAGCTTTCTGTTTCAGCTGATGGCATTGCCCTGGGTGCTGCAATTACTTTGTCAGAGAATCACATCACCATGATTGTTTTTGCTGCTATCATGTTACATAAGGCAAGTGTGCTGGTTTATGGTTAGAATTAACTATCTAATGACATATCGAGTCCAGTCAAATGTGGTGGGGTTTTTTTTCGTAAGACTACACAAGAATTTGAAATTTCTAAAAGTCCACAGTTGAGTGTGCCAACTTTTCATTGATTTTAGACCAGGTCTTAATGGTTTGGCTTGCTGCAAGACCCTGGTTTTCTGACTATTGATTGCAGTCTTGATTCTTGAGTCAAGCGATATATTTTCTTTGGGTGTTTAAGATTATTTTGACTTGAAAGGATTTTTCTTAGAATTTGTTTCGGCTCTTCAAGATTGTATTCAAGTTGTGCATTTAGCTGATTTCAGTGTCAGTAAAAACTTATTCTCTACAGTTGGTAACAGTGAATATGGGTAGAATTATGATAATTCTTTCTTTCTTTCCTTCCTTCTTTCTTTCCTTCTTTCTTTCTTTCTTTCTTTCTTTTTTTAAAGTTCAAATCATTTTGGTCTTGAATTAAAGTGATTTCTCTTTTTCTATTTCTGTGAAAGATGTTTTTTTTTTTTATAGTTCCACGGGTCTTCCCTCCACAGGCTCCAGCTGCTTTTGGTCTCGTTTCCTTTTTGCTCCACGAAGGTCTTGACCGGGCGAGGATACGAAAACATTTGGCTGTGTTCTCCGCATCCGCTCCATTGTTGGCCATCATCACATATCTGAGTCTCAGTCAGGTACGTTTGGTGTTAGGGGAATGTTCACGCGTCAAGTTTTTACAGTTGTTTCTTTCTTTTTCTCCTCTACAAAAAGCGTTTACTGTGTTTATTAAATTGTGAAAATGTCACTTGGGTCTTTTTGTGGAGTTTTCAAGGCTGTTTACCCATTTGGCTGGGTCCTGTCAGAGACAAACGTTAAATTCGGAGGTCCTGCCTCTTAATTAACATTAACATGTTGATCGGGGAGTTAAACCCATACACTAATTTACTTTTTTACTTTCATAGATTTGGTCCAGCATCTATCTCGTGTTGAACTTTGACCTACATCCATACTCATCTATTTCATATTGAATTTTGACTCACATACTCACTCGTCTATTTCATGTTGAACTTTGACCTACATTCCCACTCGTCTATGTCATGTTGAACCTTGACCTACATCCTCAGGCATCTATTTCGTGTTGAACTTTGACCTACATCCTCACGCATCTATTTCATGCTGAACTTTAAGCTCCAACAATGCGTCACATTTATTTCACCGTGTACATTTTCTCCTCCAGCAAAACAAAGAGACGCTGTCGGACATGCACACCACTGGGATTGCCATGCTGTTCAGCGCAGGCACCTTCCTGTACGTGGCCACGGTGCACGTGTTGCCGGAGATCTCCACCAGCCACACGCAACACAAGGCGCCAGACGGCACCGTTATCGTACGGGAACAGAAAGGTTTTAAAAAATCGGAGCTGGCCGCTCTAGTTGTAGGCTCTTTGCTTCCGGTAGTTTTAGCCATGGGCCACAAACACTGATGTGATATTTACTGAATTAAAAAAGATAACATTCTTTGCTTGTTATGTTTGTTTGCGCTTGCGGCGAGGTGTGAAATGTTATTACTGCATTTTTATATATATAATGCGATACTGTTGACTGCCATGCCTCGGGAAATCTCAAGATTCAGCCTGTTGTAGTAATGTTGAATTGGTTTGTTTTTGAGGTGTTTGTTTCTTTTGCGTCATAAAATTTTCACCAAAGACGTTTTGTAGTCAATCCTTTTATAAATTTGTGTACGTGTACGTGGACGAAATGACGATTTTAGTGGGATAGTACGCTCATTGGGTGATGCGGACTCAAGCCTTGAAATTGTATTACGATTTACAGAAATCTAAGAATTTTCCCATGTAAGGAAGTTGATGCTTGTTCACGTAAAATAAGCAGTTCATTAAAAAGTGTTAAATGATTTGTTGAGGATTTTAAAAATGTGCTTAAAGTGCAAATATACAATGTCTGGTTTTTCATTTTAGGTTTTTCTTCCCCCAATCATTTTCCTTTGCCTCCTTTATGATCTTTTTCTTTACAATGTCACTCCTTCTTACTACTGTCTCTTTGGTTATTTACCTTGATGAACGGTAGCACAAATGCGAATGCATCAGCTGTGCTTGTTTAAGCTCTTCAGATTGTTACTGCGAAGAATTAGAATAACTTCAGAATTTCAACTTTTGTGTTTAATTTTTGTATATGTAGAAAGGGGTTAGGGGTCATACCTGTAAGAAAAGACTGTAGGTTTTTAACAAGTATTCCTGCAGATGGTATGCTCCACTCACCTCTAGAGTGTCCAGTTCTGCGAAAGTCTTACATTGCATAGGCTTGCTCTGTAATTTTTTTTATATTTCCTAAATCAGGGCACATGTACCAAGATAATTTTTATCTTTTGGTATGATGGTCCGCTGAGGTTCAATTTCTGGATGATATAGAATTGTTTTTCTCAGCTGCACGGAATTTCAACTTATAATGTGAAATTCTGACGATCCTGTGGGACTTTTGTGCTTTCTTTTTATAGTGATTGGGAGAGAAATTATATTGAGTTAAAAGCCATGCTCATAGCGTCTGCGTGCATTTCGGATTTCTTTTGTACCGTTTATATTTCTCATAAGGTAATGATTTATGGATGTCAAATAAGCCAGTGTTTTTTTGTTCTTAAGTTGTCATACTACTTTTGAAGTAGAAATATTCATTGGATCAAAAAATTGATTCATAAAACTTAAAAAAGATTTTATGTTGACATATTTCTACGTACTGTTTACATTATTGCTGTGGTTGGGATTGTTTTATGTGTAGAATTGCATTTGTAAGGAAATGTAGAGATTTTTTTATGTATGTCTTCTTTGTTTTGTTGTTTTTAAAAAAAATATTCCAGTGAAATTGTAAGGGTTCCATTGCAAACCACACTGTACGCCAAATTTGGGCTTTTCTGGAAATCCCCATCCACACCAGTATCATACGATAAGACATGTCATAAGAATACTTTTTTTTCTCAAAATTCATTTTATCCCTTGACATCTAACATGATGAAATTTGCTGTGTATTCCAGGGTCCCCACAGGGTCGGGAAATCGGGAATTTTGAGATGGGTCGGGAGGTCGAGAAAAAGTCGGGAATTTTGTGGTGAGTCGGGAAAGTATAGGGCCTGTGTAATGTGCAGCTATCTAGACTTTATGGTTGATGAGTCTTAAAGAGGAAACGTAATTGAAACATCCGTTGTGACGGAAGTATGTGTGACACCGAGGCTCGATCGCGAAGAATCAAGATCTGCTTTCGTTACCGCCCAGAAATTTTCCGGTAATAGTCTGATAGATAACGCAACATTTGTAACATGCAGGTTGTGCATTATGAACGCTGTGTCGCCTTGAAAATAAATCAATATTAAAAATTGCCCTCTGCTGTCGCTTGTGGAAAAAAAAAAGAAAAAGAAGTTATACAAGCGTCTTGACAGGTTCGCCCTCGTGACCGGTCAATGAACCTGTGAGTACCGGTGGTCTGAGCGCTGTGAAGTATAAGCCCTAGGACTCCTTTATAAGATACACTCGTGGAAGGGGATTTGGGGGGGGGGGGGGAGCTGAAGGCAACGCTAGAGGACAAAAACTGAACTTGTAAGCAAATTTTTAGCATTTTGATCACTACTTTAGAGCTCTCTGCAAAGCGCGCGTTGGTGCAGGCCTTGTGTGGAATCAGGATCTGTCATGCCTTGTTATTGAACTAAAGTGTTCGCGTTTCATTGGATGGGGTGATTGTAATTTATATCTATATTTTATTAGCTTTCTGTTCAGGATTGGCAGATTTTCAGTGTCACTGCATCTTGCACGCCCCCCCCCCCCCCCCCCCCCCAATTCTTACACCTCTCACACTGAATAGGTGTACTTGAGCCATTCTAGTTATTACTCTACTTTGAGTTGCAGCAACGATTTTCGTCTTCACGTTTATTATATGAATCGTGACACCCAGACTGGTTATTGACAGTCGATTTTCTAGTTCTAGGTCTTTTTTCAGGCTCAAAACAGGATTCATTTTTTTTTTATATAGGGCCTATAGTTTGTTATGTTGGCTAATATGATGATGGGAAAATATAAATAAGTAAGAACAGACTGAAATACCAAAGTCTCTCAAGATCCCAGTGCCACACTGACATGTTGTTAACTGGATATAATGTACCTACATGTGTGTGTGTGTGTGTGTATTCACAAACATATACATGTATTATATTAGATATAAATGGAGCACACGCTTTCATTGTTATGTAACGTGTTCCTGGAAAATGGATGAGGCCCCTCCCTTGGAAAATTGAGAAGCTGGTTTGGCAGTCACCCAGTATTATAGTCATCTATTGTTTGAAGACTATACTACAAAATGTACATTTGCATTCATTTATAGACATTTTGACTTTTTATCTTTGATAGATTGGCTTTTTTGGGGATCATTCTTGACGCGCAGCGGCCTGATTTTTCCCTCGAATTGGGGTCTTGAAAAAAATTTGGGGGTCGTGAAAAAATTTTCCAGGATTTGGTGGGGACCCTGTGTATTCATACTTTTGTTTTCAGAGGTAAAGTTTTAAAAATAATATTTTAAACATCTTTTGTTAGTTTTGTAGTAAGTGGATATAATGTGTTTTTCCATGGATCTCTTCATTTGTTCTTCCATGAACATCTTTTTCTAATGGCTTCTACTTGTTGTGTCAGCAGATGAAAAAGAAACACGTGAGAGATGTAGGTCTCCAGATTTCTTTCTCTTTTTCTACTGATGCTTTCCTTTTTATTTCGAAGAACTTTTTCAGAATCCATCTGGCTACTTTGAATGCTCTTAAACATGCTTTTTAAAAATGTCGGGTATCGGGTAAGATTGGTACGGTTCTACGCTGAGTTTTTTATAAAGGATTTTTGACATGTATGTGGGAGAAGGCAACACTCAAGATAAGGACAAGGAGATTAAGTTATATTTATTGATACAATGTTCATCGAATCATAGTGGTCTGGGATGCTTCATTATTAAAATTCTGTTTTTTTTATGTTACACTTGACTCTATCATAGGTTTCTCAAACTCAGACTCTTGCACACATGCTCATATACAGGCGTGCACACTCACATTCACAAACTCACACTCTCTCACACACACACACGCACATACACACAACACACACACTTGCACACTCACACACTCACTCACTCACACTCACACACACACACCCACATACATCAACAGGCACTTTTATGCATTCATTTAAAGAAATATGAGTGGAATAAAAGCTGTAGTGAGTCTGAGAAAAAAGGGAGCTTGTATTGATTTGTTGGTGATGCGTATGTCTGGTTTGGTTTTGGCTGGTTCTTTCATTGCTCTGTGTGCCAAGATGATGATCCTACTGGCTTTATATCTGTGGCTAAATAACATAAGGAAAGATTTTTAAAAGGCATGGCATGGTATTACTTTGGAAGCATCTACAAAAGACTTTTTTTTCTGATTGCGTTCTTGTTAGTATTAGTGTTGCGTTAGTTGTTTTTGTAATACAAGTCTATTAGGATGGTTGTGGTGTAGCTATTAGGCTCTTCGTCATTGTATGCAGGTGACATGGGTTCAATTCTCAAGTGTGGAGAGTTTTTATTAGCTCGGTCTTTCTGCTGGGATGTTGTATCCCTTTCAGCCCAGGTTGGCCTTGACAGGCAGGGTCAGAGCCCAGCTCTTAAATTTTCTAAATTGTGTTGATATGGGCGTAAAAACACCTACATTTTAATAAAGACATTTTTATTTACAAGTGTATTACTATTTAATAATTTATACCATTAGCGTTGTGTTAGTCTCTTCTGTAATCCTAAGTCATTTGATTATCTCAATAGTGAGAAATGTTTCCGATCTGATCTTGTGAACGAACATTCTTTTTGGGGTTGTGCTCTTTGGTGGAGGCTTTCAGGAACAGGGCATCCTGGCATCTGTCTTTTGCTCTCTACTGCTGCACTGACATCGCTGAAAAATTTCTGAACTCCCCTACTGGGTGAACTCATGCCTAAAAGAACGATTTGATGAAATATAAAAATCTCTGAATTCCCACCCTGGGTGAACTCATTGCTTAATATAAAAGAACGATTTGATGAAATATAAAAATCTCTGAATTCTCTCACTTGATGAACTCATTGCTTAATTAAAAGGAAACTTGTGTAACTTTTGGAATACATGACTCTCAGTGTGAGCCCAGGTCTCTGCTATTGGCAGGCAGTGGGTGTGTTCTGTTGTACCATATTATAATTTTGTCAAGTTTTCAGGTAGTTATTTATAGTTCTCGCCTGTCTCAAGGACTGCTTTTGTTTGACACGTTTCACTCTCTCACGATATTGATATCTTTGCACAAAATGTGAGGCTACTTTTGATAGCTGACATCTGTATGTGTATTATTTTTTGTCTTATAGAAACTCCTAAAGGTAGGGCATGGTTTGGCCGATCTTTATCCTTCGAACTTTGACCATTGTCTTTTCCCAAAGAGCCTCTGTTCACTGTCGGTTCAAATCTGGGAAAT